AAAATACAGTACCCGGAAGTGGAGCGTCTGGTGTCGGGACAGCCAGCCCAATCAGCATCAGAATAAGCCTGGAGATAGTCTGTCGAGGAGCGAGTCAGGTAGATACCGTGAGTGGCAGTGCCGCTAAGATAACGGAGAACTCTCTTCATGGCCGTGAGGTGAGAGTCGTGGGGCGCATGAAGGTGGAGGCAGAGCTGCTGAACGGCATAAGTGATGTCAGGTCTGGTGAATGTGAGATACTGTAGAGCACCAACTATGGACCTGTAAAGAGAAGGATCTGGAAGTGTCGTGCCGGAAGAGGAAGAAAGCTTTGCCTTGGTGTCGACTGGAGTGGATATGAGGCGGCAGGAGACCATCCCTGCCCTCTTAAGGATCTCATGAGCGAACTGTGTCTGATGGAGGAAAAGGCCCTGAGTAGTGCGATGAACATTAATGCCGAGGAAGAAATGCAGATCACCCATATCTGTCATGGCAAACTCAGCCTTGAGTTTCTGAATGAGACTCTGAAGAAGCCCTGGCGAGGAGGCAGTGAGGACGATATCATCAACATATAATAAGAGGTAGGCGGTCCCCGAGGCATGCGTGAAGACGAAAAAAGAAGTGTCAGATTTGCAGCTGCGAAATCCAATAGTCTGAATGAAACCTGCAAATCTGTGATACCATGACCGGGGTGCCTGTTTCAGACCATAAAGAGCTTTCTTGAGCCGGCAGACATGATGAGGGTACTTTGCATCCTGAAATCCTGAGGGCTGGCTGGCATACACGGTTTCTTGAAGCTGTCCATGGAGGAAGGCATTTTTGACATCGAGCTGATGGATGGGCCACCCACGAGACAACGCGAGGCTAAGGACGATTCGGACCGTGGCAGGCTTGATGACGGGGCTGAAAGTTTCGCTGTAGTCAATGCCAAAACGCTGATTGAATCCACGGACCACCCATCGGGCCTTATACCTGGATAGCTCACCGGATGGGCCAAATTTGTGTCGGAAGAGCCATTTACCGGTGATTATGTTTTGGTTGGGGGAGGGGGGTACTAGTTCCCATGTGTCATTCTTTAACAAAGCATTATATTCATCACACATAGCAGCATGCCAGTTTGGATCTTTCATAGCACTACGGTAAGTTGGGGGTAAAGGGGAGATGGAGGTGGTGGCGTGGAGGTCTAA